AGCAAGATTTTAATGCAAACAAACAGACAAAGACTAAAAAGTAGAAAATAATAATCATTAAAAAAGTTTTAAAAAACCCACGTTTTCTGATTGAACTAAAAAGTAGAAAATAAATGCTATAGGCCCTACATCACAATAATGCAAGCGATCACTCTACTATAAGCGAGCAAAAACGTGGGGCGCCGTGATTTTCTTACAGTTTCTAATACTGTTGACTCTCTACAAGCTCCCTAATAAAAGTCAATAGTATTATCTAATCAATAGTAATATAACTTTTACTTCGGCGCCCCACGTTTTTGATCGCTTATAGTAGAGTGATCGCTTGCATTATTGTGATGTAGGGCCTATAGCATTTATTTTCTACTTTTTAGTTCAATCAGAAAACGTGGGTTTTTTAAAACTTTTTTAATGATTATTATTTTAAAGTGAAATCATTTACGGGATGCGCGATTAATGTCCGGACTGTGTACTCGCCCTGAGCAGTATCGATACTAAACGGACTAGTATCGGTACCGATGTGTCTATTCACAAGACTAAACGAAAGATCAGCGAGCCGCCTAATGATTGTGAGCTTAGCCGGAGGGATATACACACACTAGTAGTTAGTGACTCGATGTAGGGGAGAAAACTCTCTCCATTTATAGTCCCATCCGACCGGAGCAGCATTTTTTTACTGCTAATATTTCATTAGTGCATACTTTAGCAATAATTTACATTTTTGTACTTGAAAAATTACTTAATTTTTGAAATATTGTACTGTAAAGAAATGTTGCAAATGATATTTTTATTTAATAAATATATACATAAACAAAAAACTGGATGTTAAAATCGTAATTGCTTTTAACTTATACCGTCCAAATATGTTAAGTACAATCGCAACTGTTGTTGAATTCATTATTATCCTCTACTGTCTCAAATTAAAAGCGAATATGGCAAGGAAAACTGATGTTGAAATTTATTTGATAGAGGCAATTAATAAAGAATAATATAGGCTGTATTTTAAGAAAAAAGGGGTTTTATTACAGAAAATATTAATCCTGAAATGTTAAAGCTGTATGGTGGAGGCATCTTAGCAACTTTGATCCTTTTATTTCTCAGCAATAAGGGTACCAGTGGCGTAGCCAGGATCGTCTCAAGGGGGGGGGGTCCAAAATTTCGATTTGCACCCCTCCCCCCCTCGATTTGCAGTCCCCCTCAGACTTTATATATATACCGAGGGGTCTATGGGGGGAGTTATTCTGGGCGTCACTTGAAATAGTTAGAACTCGCTCACTGATAACATTTTAAAACGTCATCATTGTAGTTATGTTTTATCTAGTGTCCATACATCTTGTATAGATTTAAATTACAGCGAGACTCTTTTAAATAATTAAAACGTGAATGCTGTTCTTTTATAAATCTGTCTCTACAACCACAGAAAGGCATTGGACTGTTTCGTCACCTTTTTACACTGACTTAGTTGATGCCCTCCTCCTTCACGTCTTGGCTTCTAGCTGCCCCAGGCTTCTTTCAGTGTTATCCATTGGTTTTTTAATCGTTTCCTTTTGGGGTTTTAGTTATATACTACTTTCATCCACCCTCTGCTGTGTTGCTTTTTCATCACAACATGAATTGGTGTATTGAAATAGAGCGTATTATGATAAGGAGACAACTAGTTAGTATCTTAATAATTGCTTCTTAAGAGAAAGAGAAGTGTGTTTTGCTGTTGTCCATTGTTTATGTTCTCGTTTGACCCACCTGCTCTGTCTTTACAATCGCTAACCGTATAGCTGCGGATGATGGTGACTGTCATTCCAAAAAGTCTCGAGATCTGTCCACAACATTGTAGAGTGTCTGACTCAAAAATACACACACAGACACACAACACACACACATGCACATCACACGCGCACGCAGACACACACACACACGCACACACACAAACACTACGCTTCAATCTTACCCCCTGGGACAATAACATATTTCAAATGTTAACCTCAAGTTCTAAAAAAATCGTGGCCTTATCTTTGAACTTATGAACTTATTCTCTGTTTTTTTTTCATTGTGTTCTAGTATCGCATGTGTCACTCTTGACTGCACTTAAGCCAAACACTTTTGGTAATTGCACCTGTATGATTATGTTGACACGCATGCCTCCATGCACTCACTCTCCTGCAACACACGTTTATGTGCACAATAAGGCCTTGGCATTCTCGTGAATATGTCTCGGTCGTCTTGTATGAGGAAGTAGCCTTGAACTCTCATAATATGTTATATAATGCCATATTTATGCGCTCTCAATTCAATGCCATTTGTGACAATCTAAACACTTCCTGAATCAAGTTGTGCCCCCCCCCCCCCCCCCCCGACCCTTTATAAAAAATTATGCATACAAAAATTATAATTCTTCCATCATGTCAAAATTTTTAAAATGGTGATGTCTGTAGAAAATTTAAAACGCCCGACATCAAGTCATGGAACGTATGCCTGACGTATGCATGACGTATGCTTGACGTATCATTGAAGCGACAGACTGAAGGACCTGTCCGACAGCGTCAAAATCTAGCATGTCGGTCTGTCAAAAATCTGGCCTGTCCGTCTGTCAAAAACCTCGGCTCTTGATTCTCTGTTTACGTCATACGATGACAAGCCTCTGCTTACTGTTTGCACATCTGATGTCGCAGTCATCGATTTTACCCCGGCCTTCTCTTCACCATCCTCTTCTAATCCAGGGTGGTATTTTTCCCCCTCATCGCTTTTTTTGTTCTTCTTTTCTCATTTTTCCTGTAATCGCTTTTGTTAGCTCTCTCGTCTAATGAAGGTATTCGTGTTGAAGCTCATGGTAAACAGACCAATGGCCGTTACGGGGGTATTGTGCGGCGACCGCAGCTTAGAAATGATACGATTGGTTTTCTTTGTCGGCATCGGAGCGGTCGTCTCGTTTTTTATTTCAACCCATCACTTGCAGTGAATGTTCTTTCTTCGTTTTCATTCACACTTTTATTTAAAAAGTGGATTTTTTCTCAAGGTAAACAAAGCAACGAAAAAAAAAAAAAAACAACATCGACATGCTCTAAACTATTTTAACCATATGTAGTTTAAAAAATGTGACATAGTGTTGCAAATAAAGTAGGATTCATCTGTATTATTTATTACAGTGTGTTTAACAACTTTCGGTCAGTTTATCTTTCATAAAGTTGACCATACGTTCCTAAGTTTATCTTTAGTAAAGTTGACCATACATTCTTTGATTTTGTAAAGTTGACCATACTTTGCTTAGATTATCTGTCATAAAGATGACCGTAAGTTCCTTAGATTATCTTTCGTAAATTTGAACATACGTTCCTTAGTTTATCTTTATTATTGACCATAAGTTCCTTAGTTTTGTAAAGTTGACCATACGTTCCATAGTTTATATTTCGTAAAAATTACAATATTTTTCTAGAATTGTTCTCTGTTTTCCTGATATTGATGTTTGCTAGATGAGATTAGCTTCGCCGACTCGACTAGCATATGTACTAGACATTGCCGCTTTCGTGTTGGAAATCGTGAGCACTACTTTCTATGTTAAGCTATCTATGGTTTCATCAAAAAGTGTAAAAATATTATCGAAGTAAAAACTTTACATTAAGCATTTGGTGGGTTTTTAAAACTCATTTGAATTTAAGGGCAATCAAACATGGAATGAAAGACTATTTTTTTCCTCTGCAAATGCATTTTATAGATCATATTTCACTTTTGTTTCATCAAATTGTAAACGTTTTGTGAACAAAGACTACATTTTTGTTGTAATTATTTTCCATAGCTGAATGTTTATGTTCAATCGTGCTCAAACCATTTCAATTTGTGTTTTGTTATATCCTTTCTCTCGCTCGTATTCAATAAATATTTCAGTTCTTGTAAAAAGAATTTCAGGAGTACTTAAGGTTTCTGACCAAAAAAAGTTATTCCTGCATCTTGTTTCAATCTTAGCCCTGGGTGGTGTGGTGTAGGATGAAAATTCTAGAAAACCCGACAGCGTCTAAATAACCGTTGTTTTTAGAAAACAAACACACACTTAATCTCATTTTGTAATTGGGTTAATTCTTTTTTTTTTCTGAATTCTTCTGCGTTTCGACGCCTAAAAAAATAAAACAGATAATGTATGTCGTTATAATTTAATGGAAATGTTGTGTAACTTCCACACGCCTTACCATTCACAATGATATTTACACACTCACACACACACATACAGAGAGAGAGAGAGAGAGAGCCACACACACACAGACACACACAGAGACACACACAGAGACACAGACAGAAACACAAATACACACACACATACACACACAAATACACATTGACACAAATATACATTGACACAAACATACATACACACATATACATATGTGTGTATGTATGTGCGTGTGTATATAAATCGACAACATCAGTATTGCTGGTGACCCCTTGTGAAGCACACGCGCTTGGCCACAACCCTCCATCGTTGTATGCGATCCCCCCACACATTTTTCAAGGCTTCAGTAACCCACCATTCCGTCTGTAGTGACACATCATTTATTTAACCTACCCAGATCCTTAAACAGTCTGGTCTTTTAAAAATTCAAATTATTTTCTGCAACTTCAAAACCACAGCCGTCAGCAGCTATTAAGCGTGACTAATTATGGGGGCTCACGTTTCGCTCTAATTTTATTCGCTTTTAAATTCACCATGACAACCGACCTGTAAATAAAAAGAAATATGGCTGAAGTGTCTTCCGCATGCCTGTCATCGTGATGTTTAGGAGTTTACACATAAAAGTTATGACATACATCAACGTGTGATGATATCATCTTAGTTTTAAGAAGTTTTTTTTTTTTTTTTAATTCTAGAGAAGTGGGTGCTTCTATTTATGAAATATGCTTTGAAAGATATTTGAGATTTGAAATGTTTTGAAATATGATGTGTATTCTTAGATTATGTTGTATGATGATATTAATATTGGATTTCGTATTTTCAAATGTTTATTTTTGTTTGCTTACAGTACATAGAGAAAAAATTCAGATCTGAGGCAGCAAAAGGTAAGATCTACATTAGTTGTGTTTGTAGGTTTGTGTTCATGTGTAGTTAATTGGGTTTGTAGGTTTGGTTCATGCGTAGTTGATTGGGTCTGTAGGTTTGTGTTCATTTGTAATTAATTGTGTTTGTAGGTTTGGTTCATGTGTAGTTAACTTTGTGTATATGTTTGATTCATATGTAGTTAATTGTGCTTGTAGGTTTGTGTTCATGTGTAGTTAATTGTGTTTGTAGGTTTGTCTTCATGTGCGCAAAGAAGTAGTGCAATCGTCCAAGGGGTGGATGACATAATGTAACGAAGCAGATCATTGGGACAAATCCCCAAAATATTCTCTAATTTTTAACACTTTAAACAAACTTTAAGTTCGTTCTTCTCTTTGAAAATCTGTATGTGTATCCTATTTTACTAAGGTAATACTGTTTCTAAATAAAATCAACTAACTTTGATTATTTAATCGTAGTAAAAAATCATTTCAAATCATTTAAGTGTACACACTATTTACTGTCTTGATTATCTTGTAAGAATTTTTAAAAATCTTAGTTAAATACAGGTTTATGAACGGTTTTTTAATAAGATAAAAAAATTTAAAAATGCACTCGTATTTTCACCAAAGTTACTTCCCTTGTATTAAAAAGTTAACTGCCATTGATGAATCGGTTCAACCAAAAAACTTTTCAAAACATAACTTAGCGTTGGGCAGACGTAGACCATACATCAATGAATGTACACCTTGATAGATGGCGCTACACAGATCTGAGACTTGGATAGACCGAGAAGCTGAAGTCTGAGTGCCGTGTAGGTAGCGATGGATCAGCTTGACCTATTTTCATTCACTCGAGGCCCATCTGTTTGTTTTGTCTTCCCCTGTGGAAAATAGAAGAGCGGGGTGGGGGGCGATACATAACTGCCGACTTGGCAAGGGCGAGTAACTCTGGTGGGTTCAGTTGATTTACACCGTACTGTATTGTGGGAGATGGCTGCCTGGTAGCTTCCCTTTAGAAAAAAAATGTGAACGTTCACTCGCACACGCATACACAAACACACACATTTACCCACACACCTACCCACACTACACAACCCCACACCTTCATTCAAACACACACATTTACCCACACACCTACCCACACTACACTACCCCACACCTTTATTCACACACACACACATTTACCCACACACCTATCCACACTACACAACCCCACACCTTCATTCAAACACACACATTTACCCACACACCTACCCACACTACACAACCCCACACCTTCATTCAAACACACACATTTACCCACACACCTACCCACACTACACAACCCCACACCTTCATTCAAACACACACATTTACCCACACACCTATCCACACTACACTACCCCACACCTTCATTCACACACACACATTTACCCACACACCTACCCACACTATACAACCCCACACCTTCATTCACACACACATATGACACGAATGCATGAAGTACTGTGTTAACATACTACAAAAAAAAAAATCACCTCTATCAATGTACTGTGTTTAGTCTCTAATATATAGGTAAACATACTACTTATACCACTGACATTATAGCTATCATTGTAAATATGTAATAATTTACTACTGTATATTTTAGAAAAAAAGGAATACGCAAATTGTTAACTTAATGTATTATTACGTGGTTTCTGCTAGTAATACACTCTACCTAATCTATCCAAGAATCGAATTTTACGTAACCAAATTTTGATGTAGGCCTCAACATCCTAACCAAATCTTAATCATAAATTTAAATGTTAAATCAATTCCTTAATCTAACACCATATCTTATAAATCATAACTTAACACAAACAACATAACCTAATCCTTACCGAACAGTATCACCAAACTTTTAACCATAGGCTAACACCTTGGTCTCAATTTTAACTTCCATATCCAGGGGTAAACTAAGATGGCTCTCGCTCCGATCGGTCTCTAACTCACGTTAGGAAAAGTGAAGGCGGCTGAACCAAGTGCTGACCACATTATCCCTTTATATGCCTAGGTCAAGATTAACTTTACTTCATCTGCCCAATATACAATGGATCGCTAGGTCTAAAGCGGATTTTTTACTCTTATAAAAAAAAAACAAAAAAAAAAACACTGGATTGAGTAAGATGCCGTGGGAAGAAAAACAAAAACGACATTATAAGACGTATCTTAGAATATTACCGCCTTACTCATGGCCGCCTATCGGAAATCTTCCCGTCGACCCAGCCCACCACTTTCTTGAGCTAACTAACCCCTGGTCCATGTAACATTACGCCATACTTCTACTATACCACGACCCTTGTAAGTCAACACTCGATGGATATTTCAATGACATCTAGAATATTACATTTTTTATAAAATCATCATGGTTTTTTTTATCTGAAACAAATGCCGCAGAACAATGTATTCTAAATTCTCTAAAAATATTTTCAAAGGTCACAGTTGTAACAGTAATATTATCGTCTACATCGTTTTTAAAAGAACTGAAAAAGCTGCACATGTCATTATTAACATAATCTTTTAAATCAAGGCAGAATTATTTGAATCATCACAAACTACTTCCTGTATTCTACCAACAACAGGGCAGGTTTAAAGTATTCACATTCCACCAAATAACAGTTTTTAAATTTGATCGGTTATTTCCGATACTTTCCGGAAATCCCCGAACATGTCCTTGTCTATTGCCCTGTCACGTACGCATGTGTCATGTGTAGACACCGCACCAAAGTGCACCGAGAGAGCGCAGCTAAGATGTGCATTGACTAATTAGAGAGTGGATGTCTAAGGCTAAGTCATAAGCTAAAGCAGTCGTAACATCTAGGGGGAGAGTCAGTCTGTCTTTAATAAGACTGATTCAACGACAGTGAAAAGATTAACTAGAAAACACAATTTGTTGAAATGCGTATCTTTTATCGATTTAAAAACAAGGTCACAAATTTTCATTAACTTTACCGGTAGGATTAGGTTTATATTTTAGGACACAGATAGGATTAGTGTTAGTGTAACGGTTGATGTGCGTGTCTTAGATGCGCCTTAGGCCTAAGATAAAGTTGTGATTGACTATGGCTGTTCTACCAAGACAAAAGAGAAAGCTGATGTGTTATTCCTTGGTTGAGGTGTGTTGTTTTCTCAGTGTGTTGTAAGCGGACTATCAGCGCACCTTGTTTTCAATCAAAAACATGCTAATTCAAAAAATATCCCAGTAACATATAGAATAGTAAGCTTAAATTATCAATAAAATATCATAAAGGTGTATAAGAAATACATGTCTAGTATAAAATAGTGCAGGTATGTATGTATTAAAAAACATAGGGCCTACAGCACATGTATGTAAAAACAAACAGTCCGTACAGGTATTAAAGCGTACATTAATTGCCATGCTTGTATATATACAAAGAAACCACACTTACATATAAATACCACTTATCAATAAAAACAACACACGCTTGTATAAAAACAAAACCCACTCCTGAGAAAATACCCCTTATTCATGTCAACAAACACCCATAAAAACCAATGCTCTACTGAGATACACATCCTCACGAGTAAGATAAACCAACAGTCGCACAACCTACTTACACATAAAAACAACGCACACATGCCCCTAATTACTGCTCACTCTACGAGCACGCCTTATCGGTGACCTTATCGCATTGTTTGTTTGCTGGGGTTGGTGATTAGCATCACATAACAGCGGTTCTGAGATTTTTATTCTTCTACCTTGTGTTTGCTGAGGCAGGCACAGTGGATCTCAAATTTCATATTTTGTCCTCTTTCTGTGCTGAGATAGGCCAGGTGGATCTCAAATGTCATCTTATTGTCCCCTTTGTTTGTTGAGTTAGACACTGGTTCTCAAATTTCATGATTTGCCCATAAAGTTTACCAAGGGAGACGAAAAGTATTGTGTAACAATGGCTATTACACATTATCGTATCATCGTTGAGTAAAATAACCATACAAAATCAATCGCTCTATTGTTTTGACATTGGAGTAACGTTCAGATAGGCTAGTGACGTCATTGGAAGAGTTCTTAAACATCCACCAATGGCACTTAACATATTGCCTCTGTTTCATTGGTTTACTTAGTTCCGTGTATCTAACGTACGTTCTTTCTTTGTATTGATGTGTTTTTCTGTTTACACCAAAACGCTTATGTCGAGAATGCACGTGCATCGAGCAACACGTGAGTAGTTATCGTGCGTGTGAGCTGTTGTTGTTCTAGCAACATCACAGAGATGATGTCGAGACCAACACCTTTGAACTGATGTCCTGTGACATGTGCTTGGTTGGATCGTTCCATTTTGTGTACTTTGGTATTACCTAAAGTAATGGACTCGTCCTATAATTCCTGCTCACACACATATAAAGAGTACAACCCAGGTATATGACACGTGCATCACCTGGCTGAGCCTACAATTCTATAACCCCTCGTGACACACTCTCAGTACAGGTATTTCCCTATAGGTGTAGTTTACCTGTTAAATGTGTATGTCGTAAATAAGATTTTTTTTTACTTAATTACTTAACTTATATAGCAACCCTCCTTCCTTACCCAGAGTTGCCACATAGCTTAATTATCCAATCCCTAATTAAGTGTCACCAATAATTTATCTTGCCATACTCAACTATCTGAACTCTAGCTCTTCACCTAAAGCTCTTCTTACTCAATTATTAATCCTCAACTCCGTACCGTAAGTTCATTCTATTAATATCCGCTCGTAAATCTGTTGAATGCATGTTTTGCCCTAAATGTCCTTAACTAAAGAATGTAATGCACATAATGTTTCAACCTTAATCTGGCAAACAATGTTTTAACCCTACGTGTTACAAATCCCACTTAGCTCTTCTCACACGTGTCCCTCTACATAATTATTCACATCATACTTAGCTCATCTTTGCTTAGCTCATACTCGCTCACCTACATCTGAAAGTACCCTCAATACGACCTATGCTCTACTAGCGAGCAGGTCAAACCTAGCTATGTCATTAAGGTAAAAAAA